GCGCTGGGTCCCCGCGGTGAACGCCGAGGGGGGTCGGTCATTCCCGGGCCTGCGGTCGGGTCTCGCAGCTGCACCAGGAGCGGAGCGAAGGCTTCTGGCAGGCGGGGAGAAAACACAGAATTGCCTGAAGCGACAGGGCATCGTACTTCAATGGCATCAGGGCAAAGTTCTCTCTCTGCAAATCGGGCCGTTGATATCCAAGAACGGTAGTTCTGAGGTAGGAACCTTCCCGTGCTGCCAGGTCGGTTTATAATGCTAAAGGCATGGGCGTATTTGCATTAAGAAGGAACAGGCATAGCTGGTTTTATTGTGAGCATGTTTTTCCATGCCTGTTCTGTTCCTTTAAAAAAATGACACTCCTGTAAAAAAAGGATCAATTGCTGACAGAAAAAATACACTAAAAAAATGACCATGCACAATAAACACTTTTGTGAGAATTACAGCATTAAAATAATCTATCTGAAAGATCCTTGGTTTCTGTCAGTATGCCTTAAAATATCCTTTTGATTAAGCTGCGCTATTCCTGTAAAATTACAAGGATCAACAATTTGGCAAGGTTTCAAACAGAGCAATACTGCACTTGTTAAAAGAAACCACTACAAAATACCACTATAAAAGGTGTCTAACAAAAGTCCGTATGTGAGATCCGAATGGTAAATTTAGTGGATTTACACAGCAGCAACCAGTGTCTGGTTTTTATGACATGTACATGATTTAGATAAACAAAAAAAGATTAGGCTTCGTATCTTGGGTAGGAAGTTGTCGAAATCAGACTCAAAACATTTGTAACGTTATGCACTTCAAATGAGAGTGCTGCAAACTTGTACACGCAGTAGGTAAGGAATGTTTTTCTATTTTGGAGTGTGCTGTAAGGGAGTCCAGTACTACATAAGCTTCTACTGTAACTTGAGTAATCAACAGACTAGACTCCTCAGCTGCAAACGTAGTGGAGCCACCACAGTATCTTTCCTACCTGTACACATTTTTTATCTACGGAAAATTCTTACTCCTGTTAGTAGGTATCCTAGCTTCAGAGAAACTAGTCACATGAATAAGGCTTTTGTGAAGCTGCCCTCCCCTTTTCTTTTTTTATAAAACACATTAATCTCATGACAGAATATCCTTTCAGACAGAAAGAAAAAAAAAGACTGCTACCAAAAAGTCTTTATGTAGCGTACATAAACAGAGTAATAAATAATGTAAACATCAGTATTCCTTTCCTGAGATGTCTACGCTTCTTTTTTGTCTCCTCCACATGTAATTCCATGTTCTGGAACTCTGCCCAGGAGGTTAATCAAACATTTTTTCTGTCTTTGTAATCAGGTACATGTACTAACAGTCTTAAAATCCAACACTTTAGTAAAGCATTCCTTTAGTCATTTTCATTATTCAAGATTTCACTAAATATTCGTTTTCATGGAAAACTGGAATCATCGTATAAAGTAAAAATTATCAATCCCTTCTCTGATTAACTCTTGCAGAAAAGCTATGTAATCTCTTTAAAGGATTAATTTACAAACATGGGCATCTGGACCTGTAGCAATCTAATGTCCTTCAACTCCGAAGTACATTTGAAAAATGTCAGCACATCCTTTTTCTTCTAAAAAATGATACAGCTGCCCCAAATCCATATGATTTCCTCTGGAACCATGTGCATCAAAACATTTTTCTTCCAAAGTGGAGAACTTTCTCTGTTTCTGAATCTCATCATGTCCTCCGCCTTCCAAAGAAACATCTTCTCTGTGACGAATTAAAATTCTCTTCCACGTTAATCTTCTAATTCTGAAAGCAATTGGAGAAATATGAATCTATGTAAAATGCAGAGTTTAGAAGATGCTAAGAAATAATCACTCAAGTCAATAAATTTAATTTGTACATGCATCTTTGCAGAGAGAACGTCTCCCTAGCTCATCATACAAATACTATGCAAACTACTCAAATGCACACATTCCCATAAGCAGGAGCTTGTTTCTTTATATTTTATCTTCTGAGGATTAAAAAATCTTAATGGTATTACTCACAGAATAATTGGTGAAGATGTGGTTTAAATTTAAGTGCTCACTTTCGCCTTGTCTATACTAAGAATTCTGACGTCTGCATCCTGTACATCCTAGGAGTTTTCATACTCTCTTAGCTGTTAAATTCAAATACTATTGTTTGTTTTGGCTGCACTATACAGAAATATAAATGATGAGGGCAGAATAAAATATGAACTTAAAACAATATACATATGGAACAGCAACATACATATGTAACAAGATTGGGGTACTGCAGTCCACTGCTACACAACTGAAATACAGAGAAAACAGAAAAGTGCACTGTGTACAGCAGCTTTCGTCATTGCAACCGGCAGTAGAGGGCACGTTCAGAGTTGTAAATACACTGTGATAGAGACAAACACTCCACAGACAGGAGGTTAGAAGGTGGGATGAACTTCCCACCTTCTGGCCACATATACAACGTAAAAAAACATAACATTCTAAGCATTAACGGCACTTAAGTACAAAGAAAAGCTCACCTGGACCAGAACTCTTCACAAGCGCTCTGCAGACCTTCTACACAAACAACACCTGGTTTCCCAGGCATGCAAAACCCTGACAGAGAGAGCTCCTTGGCCCAATCAATAATATTCTTTCTTTTTTGCTTGTTGTAGATGTGATGACTATAGATCCACAGTCTAGTGAAAATGGTGTCTTCTGACTGCATAGCATCTGATGTCGTGACTGAGGAAGACGAAAGCTCTTTGTCAATGTAAGCAACTGCATGATCTTTAATCCATTCTCTTGCACTCAACATGCAAGGCTCACCACTGCAGTTTTGCATCAAATATGTTTTTAGATCAGAGTTCAGGTGAATCTGCTGAGAGCGGCTTAACAGTGGTGACCTAGAGAAAAGTATAAATGGTTGTACTACACTTACAATTCAGCATGTTTTTCAAACAGTTTTACTTCAAGTTGCTAAGAAAAAAAAAAAACAGGCATGTTTAGATGGTTTGCACTTACTGTTGATACTTAAGTCATGGTAGCTATGAAAAGGTCGTAAGTAGTATTTAATCAACTGCTAATTCTTGAGTCCACATTCTTGAGTCTGTAATTTTCTAAAATATACAGTGCCACAGAACACTTCACTAAACAGAAATGTTCCAATAAAAGTTAAGTCAAGGAATAACAGTATTGTGACAAGGGAAGAACTGAGTAGAGTAACCTTTCACTCCTTCAGCAAGCGTTAAGCCTTGTCAAAACAAATGACAGTCTCTGAGCATCAGACCCATGAATGGTATCTACATGTGACCACTCTGTACAGAATCTGGCACTCCTCCATTCTTTTCCCATTTTTCTCACTTGTCTGTTGAGGACACTGGAGAAATCATATCCTTGCAAGTTTGTTTTTCTTCTGACATCATTGTCCATCTGGCTCAATTTGACTGTAAACTATGAAAAAGGACTGCTTTTTGCTATTATATCTGTATTCATGTAGTACAGGGTAGCTTTCAAACGTTTTTATTAACTGTGTATTTAACGCCATACCTCACAGTAATTTCTGGTAGAATAGCTGGATATTTAAATGGTAAAGCACAGGACATGGAAAACTCCACCTAAAAACAAATGATCAAACGTTAAGTTGAAGGAAGCCCAAAATCGGACTTGAAGTCCCACTATTTTTTTTTTTTTTAAGAAAAATATTTACTGTACCGTAGAGGCATCAGGGACCTCTGGCTTTACATTCAGTATAAATTGAACTTTTGAAGATGGCATCTCTGCAGACTGATTTTCAACATAGTGTTTCAGTTCTGCTATAGCTAGCTGGTCAGTCACCATGAACTCTTCTTCATAAGGAAACATGCTGGAGAGTAAGTCTAATTCAGAAATTTGTATCTCAGCTTCTTCTCGGTTAGTCATGTCTATTTCCTGTGAAAAGGAGAAATTAGTAAAGAAAAACATGAATATGTGAACAAGTTGTCTACCTCAACGTAAACCGTATTATTCCTTATAACTGAACCTATTAATAAGTTGGGCATTCAGAGGCTTAAACGGTATTCTGAGAGTTCACGTTGTTTCCGTTAATCTGAGATGGAGCAGGAGTTGACATTTTTTCAGAAAATAAATGTTTTTTTTCAACCCAGCGTATTCAGCCCAATTGTTTGCGTTTGGTGACTGTAACGCTGGACAGAAGCATACTGAGGGACGTTCCATTCCAAAAACGCCTGCAAAAAGCCAACTATACTAGGCCAATTTTAGGATTAACCCACCAATTTAGACCTGCTTCGACTACCCAGCCTTAGTTCTGCCCAAGTGGCAGAGCTGCCATCGCCCATTAACGCAACGTACAGCTCTTATTTTCAAAAGTAACGCTACACGCGCGGACACCCGAGCGGCCTCACGCAGGAAGCAGGACAAGGCAACGAGTGCGTGGTCGCCCCTGGCCCCCCTAGCTGTAGGGGGAGGCCGC